AGGGTCGATACACATCTCGTGTTTCGATGACGTATACCAGTATGCGTCGAGCTCGTACAGCCAGCATGGTTTACTGCGATATTTACCAGAGAAAATCGTGGTGCTGTGATTGTTTAGTCAGCGCCGGAGTAATGTGCAGTACAGTGATTGCGCTGCAGCCTTCGTGCTTGAAGTTACGAACGCAGTTGGAGCTTTGTTTATTGTCTTTTGATGTTTGTTTCGAATAAAAAATGGCTGGCTGTGAAACTCGTCAGCTGATTTCAATCGGTCAGTCAAAAAAGATTGAGGTAGAGGAGTTTGATTGCTTAGCTTTCGATGACCTTCATCTTCCGGCAGAGTGGCTGCCTGCTGCACGGAGCTGACAGAACGAAGCGTGGGCGAATCCATGTACTACGTATCATTCCGATATTTACTGAAGCGACATATATTGCAGCTTGCATAAACACTTGTGGCAGATTCTTCAGTTTAATGATTAATATGTGAGGTTTAACGTCCCAAAACCACCACGTGATTATGAGAGACGTCGTATAGTGAAGGGCCCCGGAAATTTCAACGGTCTGTTGTTCTTTATCTCCAGTGTACTATTACGAAACTGTGTACACGAGAACGAAGGAAAGGGAATTTTAGGGGCTAGTTTTTTGACTAGGCAAAACACTAACAAGAACTAACAAACAAAAAAGCCAAGGGAAGTGTAAAAGATCTTCGTAGTCAAGATATTAATATGAAGAAAGTAAAGCGGACGAAAAGTTGACTTTCCTCTGGCAGAAACCGAACCTGGGACTTTCAAATAGCGCGTCCGACGCTCTCACAACTGAGCTTGGGCAGAGCATCGGACACGTTATTCGACACGTATTGATATGACAATCAAAGCCTGTCAAACATCACTAGACGCCGACACTTATCGCCGCGCAGCACACTGTGTACTCTCCAACACCACTCTTTCCCTTATCACCTTTAAATACAAGCGCCGAATAAACCAAAGCTTCTTTTTCTGCTCGAATCTGGCCCGTGCATATCTTTCATAGATGCCGAAAAAAAGAAGTGGCAAGTTATATTTCCTTCCATTTCACTGTCTTCGAATTTATACTCTAATTACTGCAAATAACATCCTCTGTACTTTCCTTGGCTTTTATTGTCGGTTCTTGTTTATGCGTATGAGAGCTCTTCACTCGAAGAACTCTAATGTTTACTACACTTCAGGCTACTCTATAGCTTTTACAGGCAAAATCTGCTTACGCATACTCGCTGTTGGCACCGAGGATGGCCTCTTGGTGGTGGTCACATTGCCGTGCGTTCGGACACCACCTGTGCTTGAAGTGGTAATCCTGCCACTTCTTGAACTACTGGCACTTGACGTTGCTTTGCTCCATGCTTTCGTTTTATCCGTCGAGTCCGTGCTGCTGTCGCTGGCGTG